AGTTGAGAAAAAAAAAAAAATAAATAAATAAATAAATTATGGCTACGCCCCTGTTCTAAATAAGCCCGTGGATTCACATTTCTTGTTACCTATATATATCCTACATAAGCATATATATGTTTGTACATGCATTTTTTAATAAAAAGTAAATAGTGGTATCAGGAAGAAGTCGGAGTTTTGTTGCAATAAAGACAGAATGGGGATTCTCCAAGTTCATCTCCAAGAAAGAACTTAATGATCCTCACAATGGATACCTCAGCCACGATGACAATTGTGTTTTTGGAGCTGAAGTTTTTGTGAACGAAAAGAAACCGATCATTGATTGTCTGTCTTTGAAGAATGTTTTTGGTGCTTCCTACAGGCAAGAATGGAACATTCCCAACTTCTCTAAATTGGGGAGTGAATGGATTTCACCGGAGTTCTCTGTCGAAGGCCATAAGTGGTATGTATGTTAAATTAATTTGTCGGGATTCCTTTCAAATATATATATATGCATTCTTTTTATATCTTTTAGCCGACATAAATTGTTTTCGTGCAGGAGAGTGATGATGTATAGATATGGATGTGGAGAAGCTAGGGGACGCTTCTTATCTCTCTTCTTAGTCTATATTCCTACTAAAGTTAACAACATACGATTGCACACGTGCTTTGCAATCAGCATGAAGAATCAGCTTGACAGTAGACACATGAGTGGAGTTCGTAAGTCATAATAAGCACTTGAAATTTCCAAAGTGAATCTAATTTTCTAATTTTATGAAAATTAATGTTTTACTAATAGCGGAACATCTTGTGTTGTAGTTTCTCATTGGTTTTCAGCTGCTGAAAGCCGTTTCTGGGGATGGTTTTCATTTATTCAGCTTGATGTGGTGAACAATCCTAATAATGGCTTCATCGTGAACGACTGTTGTATTATAAAAGTAGAGATATCTGTGCAAGCTATAGCAAGCTCAGGCTGATTTTTCTATAAACTTTTCAAACCATACAGATTTTTTTTTTTTTTTCTTTTAATTTGTTTTTCACTGTTATTTAAATATGAATGAGGTTTTGTCTGGCTTAATTTGGCAGAAAACCAAAATAATTATGTTGGATTTTATTTGTTCATAGTTACCAAATGATATATTTATAATTTGTTAAACAAGTAAGAAGACATATAAATATCAAAGCAAGTTACATCATGTTTATTTTTGAGCCGTGTGTGTTACTGTGTGTGACAAAGGACGGATATGTGAGTGTTTCAAGAGAGAAAAAAAAAAAAAAATCCCTTATAATTATGTGGAATAAAAAAATATTGTTCCATGAGTTGAAAGAGCAGAGAATTAAAATGTAGTCATGCAGTGGAAAACGATCAGATATATATTGGATTTCTAATGGACAGTTCATAGAACTATTAAAGACTGTTAATATTCAGAGAATCTTAAAAGGCAAACATCTGCATATAACTCAACAAGTCACAAACTACAAAGGAACTAAAAGCAACGATGGACTCCACAGCAGAAACGGATGATAATACAATTACAACGTAGACCTTTTGTTCCTAATATTCTTGTTATGCTACTTTCTTTATATTGAACCAAAAGCAGCCATTGATGTATGTATGTATATATATATATTTATGCTTGTTTTTTGTGTTGCTTACAGTAGCCATTATGGAAACAAGAGAGGCTTCGCCCGCTCATTTGTTGATCAAAATTCAATCTTTCTCGTTGCTTGCGAAGCATGGGATCAAGAAATTCGAGACCACTGAATTTGAGTCCGGTGGATACAAGTGGTATGTGACCTGTTTTCTCGTGTTATATGAAGCTAACCAACACAACTATAAATTCACTTGAAAGAACATATTTATTTCATGCTTCATGCATTTTAAAAATTTGTGACAGGACTTCTCATTGGCTTGTGCAGGAAACTTATAAGTTACCCAAATGGAATGGAAAGAGACAAAGGATACATGTCGGTGTACTTAGCCATTGTTGATTATGGTGGCTTCCCCAAAGGCTGGGAGGTTAATCACAGGGTAAATTTTCTATTCAATCTGTGGCAAAATTTAGAGAGAAGATATACTAAATTGCCCAATTCGTTACAATAATTCATCAAAAAAGGCGAACTATTTTGGTCTAGCTGTTTTCTGTCTGGTCTTGAAATTCGGGTGTTTCTCTAGTTCATTTTGGGTCGAGTGACTTACTGTTAGACTCATCCATTCTGTCAATTTTTTGTTTTTTTTCTTTTGGGTTCAACGTAGCTCAGGCAGCACCTGAGCGCCCTGATTTTTGTGTAGTTGGCCATTCTAGGTGCTCGGGCAAAATATGCCGCAACTTAGGCAGTCTTGGCAACAACCTAGACGTTCCCGGCATTGCCTAGGCGCCGGTATAATTTTCTTTTATTATTTTTTCTTCAAAACATATCAGAAACTAATTTTGAATTTTATACATGAAATATATCATAATTATAGAATAAAAATTAATATAATAATTTTATTTAACCATACTAATTAACTTATTTTATAAAATACAGTTTGTACCTTATATGACCCCGCCTAGGCCCTGAATAATTTCCGACAATGACTCTTAATGTGTGAAATAAGAATAAATCGTAGCCATTAGATCGGATGATCTAATGGTTAAAAAAAGTTAAAATTATCTCATCATTAATGGTATTTTCGTAATTTCTCTTACACAGCCCGTAGGACCCACCATACACCAACTCATTAATTCCTCTTCCCACAACCAACCCATCAGTGGGACCCACCCCACCTTCTTCACACAACACACAGAACACACACACAACACACGACTGTCTCTCTCACACACACACACACGATATGCACACATACACACACATCACGGCCGCCGGCACTTTCCACCGTGGGGTTGCCGTCAATTACCACCGTCGGCCGCCGCCCACACTGTCCCGCCGGAAACCTGCACCACCCTCAGTCACAAGCAGGTGAACCTCCATGTCAATGTCAGTGCGGAATTCGAAAATTGCGGACACGCCGGCGAGGCCCGTTGAACCGCCGCCGCGACTCCGTCATACACCGGCAACCGGACGCCATCGTCTCCGTCAGCAGAGCCGGCTTTTGGGGGGAGCAGGGTGAGCAACTGCACAGGGCCCCCAATTAATTGGGGCCCCATATATAAATATTAAAATATTATATATATAATAATATAAATAAAAAATATAATAATATATAGAAAGAGCCTTATGTGTTTTGTCTATCCGGGGGAGGTTCTTTCCTACTTGAGAAGTGGAATTTGTTATTAATAAAATATTAAAAATATATTATTCAATATTGTAATTAGGGGGGCCTAATTTTATTTTTCGCTCTGGGCCCAAAAAATGTTGGAGACGGCCCTGTCCGTCAGTCTTGCTCGAAACCTCCATTAATGGTGGATAAAAAAAAAAAAAAAAAAACAATCCTCTTTCCACCTCCTTCTCCGGCCAGAGAAGACGACCTCGTCCCGACTGCAAACCTCCGTCGACCTCCGTCACCTTGGATCCAGTCCTCTCGCCGGAAATCGGAGTGGAGGAGATGAGGTCCTGCAACTCGAACCTCGACATCTCTGATGTGGGAGGAGATGACTCCCGAAACTGAAATTGACTTGTGTGATTTGGACATCTTTTTGAGAATTAAGTCATGTTTAGGGACCTATTTACAATTTCATCAATTTTAATTAGATTTCAATTTAAGCCAAATCTGTAATTATTTAAAGGTAATAAAAAATTGTTTCTTATATACTTTGTTGTGCATATATTAAATAATAAATAAATTATAAAATTAAGACAATGTAAAAATATTAAAACAATATAAAAATGTTTTATAGTTATAAATAAATTATATAATAAATTTAATAAATAAAAGATATTTTAATTATTTAAGTTATTTCAATGTACAATTATAGCTATTAAATAGTTTTCGAATGCACATTATTTATATGGGAATGTATAAATTAGTGCAATATATATAGTGAAATGTTGCACTTTATAAAACAACTCGTTGCACTTTACAAGATGTCACGTTGCACTTTATCAATATAATTAACGTTTACAACTCCCGCAAAAAATGATACGCGGTATAAATCTAAAAGACGGTAAATAATAAATAAATTATTAAATAACAATAATGTAAAATACTAAAATAGCATAAAAATATTTTATAGTAATGAGTAAATTATATAATAAAAAATAGTAAATAAAAAGACATTTTAATGATTTAAGTTAATTCAATGTACAATTATATCTATTAAATAGTTTTCAAATACACATAATATACAAAATTAATGCACGTTATATAGCAGGATGTTGCACTTTATATCACAACACGTTGCACTTTACAAGACGCACATTGTACTTTATCAACATAATTAACGTGAGCAACTCCCGCAAAAAATATTACGCGTATAAATCTAAAAAACATATCTACATAATTGCACTTTATACATCATTATGTTGCACTATATACAGAAATACATTGCACTTTATAACACGACATGTTACAACTTATAAAACAACACACTACGCGTACCAAAAAATATGGTAATTCTGCTAATCGATCGAATAAATTAATTGGTTAAATGTTGAATTTAGTCTTTTTAAATAAATAAAATAATTGAACATGGCGATTTATATGAAAAATATTACCAATTCTTTTTTATTTATATATTTAATAGAAATTTATACTATTTTTTTTATATATATATTCTTATATGTATTGCGAATGCACATAATGGATATACTAATTGCACATAAACGTTGATATTTTTAATCACTAAAATAAAAATCAAACTACATTAAAAATATTATTATTGTTGTTATTATTATTATTTTTTTGTATACAAATATTAAACTATGATTTTCTATTGAAATATAAAAAATCAATATAGTGCATTTTATGCATTATTGTATTATTGTGTATGTATTAAACTCTTATTATATTATCAATTTGCCAATTACACTCAATTGAAATAAAATAAAATTTTATAAATTGCAATTAGGCCCCTACATTAATTCAAATTCTCACATAAAAAACCTCAAAACTCAAACAAACACACATCATATAACAACTGCTATATTCGGCCAAAATCACAGTGGTCTTGTCGGCCGACGTTGGCCGGTTATCCGCCGTCGACGTTCACCGGAGATTTTCCGGCGAGCGGCTAAGATGACCGGAAGTTTCACGACATTAAAACGGCTGACGGCCCCGACGTTGACGGAGGCGGCATGAGCGGACGACGGACGACAAGGGCTGGAAGCGGGGATCGGTCTGGAAGCGACGACCGGGACGTTGCCGGAGTCGGGTGGTGACGGAGGTGCTCGACGGCAGACTGGTTTTGTACGGTGGCGATGGCAGTGGCGGGATGCTGATGGTGGGCTGAGAATGGCGACGACAAGCTGAGAAAAGGGACGACGGCGGGCTGAAAACCACTGACAGGTAGAAAGCCGGCGGCGAGATTAGAGGCGGCAGTGGTTGTGCAGGTACAGGCGGAGGCGGCTGCGCGGCGATGCTCCGGTGGCCGAAAGGTGGGCGAGAATGGATGGATGTTGGCGGAAGGCGGCGGCGATGTGGTGGTCGGACTGCTGGACTGTGTGTGTGTGTGTGTGTGTGTGTGTATGTGTGTGTATTGTGTGTGTTTACTGTTTATGTTCCAGAGCCGTAAAAATGGAGAGAAGAGAGGTTGAGGAGAGAGAAAAATGAGAGAAGTGATGTTGAGGAGAGAGAAAAATGTGTGTTGAATTGATTTAATGAGTGGGTCCCACTTTATATGTTTATTTACCACCTTACCCTTAATTATTGGTCAAATATACATATTGGACCACACTATGTCAATAATTACCAGATTGTCATTAATGATTGACCATAATTTGACTTCATCATAACCATTGTTATGTTTGATCCCATGGTCCAAACTTATTCTCATTTCTCGCATTAAGAGTTATTCTCATATGATCCTTTCTCTCTCTCTCTATATATATATATATATATTATAGTGCACATAACGTAGACTTGTCATAATTGGAGGAAGAAGATGTGGTACCACGCAGGTGAAGGGTATCATAACCAATTGGTGATGGGAGGAGCAACTCACTAAAATTATAAACTAGACTCATTTATCCTATAAAATCAATGTGAAACAACTCATATTTCAACGACACTAAAATTCGGCATTGATGTACATATAAGGAGAGATATTGAAGAAATAGAAACAAAAGGTCGAAATTGACTCCAACTAAATTTTCGGAGTTTTAGTTTCCCATTAAATTTACCCTGTTAATTTTAATTAATTGAATTCCAACGGTAGTCACACTTTAAACTAGGCGACGGAAGATCCTAATAAAAGCGTTTAATTAATGCACTTCTCATGCTATGCTTATTTAGAGAATCGGAAGAGGCAACCATCTGCATATATGAAACCCTTTCTCTTATCTTTTTTTGTTTAACAGTAAACACACTAACAAGTGAGAAAGGAACTCAAAGCAACCATGGACTTCACACCAACAACAGATGGTAAGCAATTACAATGTAAACCTTTTATATATTAGTTTAAATTAGAATGTAAACCTTTTATATATTAGTTTATATATATATAGAGATTAATAAATTTGCTAGGCGGTGTAGATGGATGCCTAGAGTAGTCCCTCGGCACTTGTAGTTTTTCTGTGTGTATTTCATTTTTCTTTTTTTTTTCTTTTTTTTTTTGCTTTTATTATTATTGATATAATATATTAGATTCTGGATATTCTTTTCATTTGACTGTATTATTCAACACATTTCATAAATAAATTTACTAATATTTTTATTACTCCGCCTAGGTTCTGCTTAGGTGCTTTAAGTGCTATGTCCCAACTCGTTGTCCATACGGATTTTATAACACATATAAATTGTTTGTTTTCATAATATGATGAATGTTATGGTTTGAATTTATTTAGTTTATGTTACTTACAGCAGCTATTATGGAAACGACAGAGGCTTCACCTGCTCATTTTTTGGTCAAAATCAAATCTTTTTCCTTGTTTGAGAAGCATGGTATCAAGAAATTCAAGACGAGTGAATTTGAGGCCGGGGGATACAAGTGGTATGTGACCCTTGCTCGTGTTATAAAGCACAAAAAAAAAAAGAAAAAAAAAATAGAAATTTACTTCAATGAAAAGATTTATTTCATTCTTTATGCATTTTGAAAATTTTATGATGTACTTGTCGCATAATGAATCCACAAAATGATGAAAGTATGAAAAGACTCTCATTCTCTTGCAGGAAGCTTAAGATTTATCCAAATGGGAGAGATATAGACGAAGGGTACATGTCTGTGTACTTGGCCATTGTGCATGATGGCTTGCCTGCAGGCTGGGAGGTGAATGCCTTCTTCACAATCTGCTTATTTAATCAGATTTCCTGCAATTATCGCTATTCACTGGGTAAATTTTCTAGTTCTCAACTGCATTTGGTGTGGAAATGTAGATATGTTCGTGTATGTGTTTTTTAAAGTAGATAGGTTTTTCAGGAATAAGTCGGCGTTTTCTTGCAATGAAAACCCAATGGGGCTTCTCTAAGTTCATTTCCAAGAAAGAACTTAACGATCCTCACAATGGATTCCTCAGCCATGACGACAATTGTGTGTTTGGTGCTGAAGTATTTGTGAAAGAAAATAAAGCAGTCATTGATTGTCTGTCTTTGATGAAAGTTGGTGATGCTCCCTACAAGCGGGAATGGAACATTCCCAACTTCTCTAAATTGGAGAGTGAATGGATTTCACCAGAGTTCTCTGTCGGAGGCCATAAGTGGTACGTATGTTACTTAATCTTTCGGGATTCTTTTCACATATATATATATTTATTCTTTTTTATTTTCTTGTTGTTTTAGCCAACAAAAAGTATTTTTGTGCAGGAGTATGAAGATGTATAGAAATGGAATTGGAGAAGCCAAAGGACGCTTCTTATCTCTCTTCTTAAACTATATTCCTAAGAATGGTAACAATGAACGAGTGCACACGTGCTTTACAATCCGCATGAAGAACCAGCTTAGCAGTGAACACCAAAGTAAAGTTGGTAAGTCATGATAAGCATGGATCAAATTTCCAAAATCTTATTTTATGAAAATTGTTTACTACGGGATCATCTTGTGTTGTAGATTCTCATTGGTTTTCAGCTGTTGGAAACCTTGACTGGGGATGGAAACCATTTATTGAGCTTGCTGTGGTGAACGATTCTACTAAAGGCTTTCTTGTGAACGACAGCTGCATTATAGAAGTGGAGTTTCTGTGTAAGCTATAGCCTATAGCAAGCTCAGGCTGATTTGTCCGTCAACTTTCAAAAGTTTCTTTTAATAACATGTTTTTCACAATTATTTAAATATGGATGAGATTTTGTTTGAATGAATTCTGACATTGATTTATATATAGTTCTTAATTTCTAAGATTCAACATTACTTGTTTATAGTTACCAAATTATGTAATTCACGAAAAGGTGTCAATAATGAATTAGGCATATGACAACGCAAATTAACTACTGTCTCATTTCACCGCATAACACTAAATAAATTGTAACTAACCTACAAGTTCCATAAGCACTAAATAAAAAAGTTTCAGCTTAAAAGCTGAAGTTCACTCGATTTAGTGTTCGATTTGCAAGCACTCCACAAACTCATTTGGCTTTCACTCATATCCTTTCTCTTGATATCTAGCAATCCAGATTTGGCCCCGGATCGACTCCGAGTTGCTTACAATAGTTTAAGTAGCACTTAACACGACTAGCAACCGTGGCCCCACTTGCTCCATTGCATTCAAGTTTTCCGTTTATGGCATTGATTGTGGCTCCGAATCCTTTTCCAGTCGTTATAAGGTCGTGACAATTTAACTTCCAAAACCAGAGTACGGTCTTGAATGAGATAACCGAATCTCTAGCTACAATATCAGATCATTCAATCCATTGAAATTTATGCTATCACCAGCCGCGCCATAGTTGTAGTTCCACCATAATTGTAGTGCCCTTGCATGCCAGGCGTGCATGGATATTGCTTGTTTTTCACTATTGTTTGGGTCGAGTCACCTACCTCTATATATCTATATGTATATCCTACATAAACATATATATGTTTGTACTTTTTTTAAAAGTAGATTGTGGTATCAGGAAGAGCCTTTTCTTGCAATAAAGACAGAATGGGGCTTCTCTAAGTTCATTTCCAAGAAAGAACTTAACAATGGATACCTCAGCCACGACGACAATTGTATTGTCGTCGAAAAAAAAAAAAAAGCAATCATTGGTTGTCTGTCTTCGAAGAATGTTGTTGATGCTCCCCACAAGCGAGAATGGAACATTCCAAACTTTTCTATATTGGGGAGTGAATGGGTTTCACCGAACTCTGTAGAAGGCTATAAATGGTACATATGTTGGTTAATCTTCCGGGCTTCTTTTCACATATATATGTATTCTTTTTTTGTTATCTTAGTGGATATAAAGTATTTTTTGTGCAGGACTATTAAGTTGCATACAAATGGATATGAAGAAGCTAGTGGACGCTTCTTATCTCTCTTCTTAAACTATATTCCTAAGAATGGTAACAATGAACGAGTGCACACATGCCGTACAATCCGCATAAAGAATCAGCTTAGCAGTAAACACGAAAGTAAAGTTGGTAAGTCATGATAAGCACTTCAAATTTCCAAAGTAAATCTCATTTTCTTATGTCATCAAAATTGTTTACTTTTGGAACATCTTGTGTTGTAGGTTCTCGTTGGTTTTCAGCTGCTGCAAGCCTTAGCTGGGGATGGCCTTCGTTTATGTGTTTAGTGATCCTAATAAAGGCTTTCTCGTGAATGACTGCTGTATTATAGAAGTAGAGTTATCCGTGCAAGCTATAGCAAGCTCAAGCTGATTTGTCTTATCAACTTTCAAATCAGACAAAAGTTCTTTTT